TTTACTTCTTTTGCGTAAGTCTGTCTGTCCTACGTATCTCTGGCCCTTTCCTCTAAATCCTCCTCTGTCCCTATCTGTTACCTCTGCCTTTTTATTTTTCTTTTCTTGTTTCTTTTGTTTATTCTCACATCGTCTATCTGCCTCTCGCTTCCATACTTGGAAATATTCTAATTCTTGCGTGCGTTTTCCTTTTTTCTTTAAATCTTTTGCTTCTCCTACTTCTTTTAGTAGGGCTTCTTTAAGTTGTGTTAGTGCAGATGGGCTACCACTTTCACTACTGCCTGCGATTGGATCCTCCTTTTTATTTCCACACAGCTCATCTCACTCGCCGTGACAGTTTTTGAGGGTTTCCACTGATATCGCACACAAGGTTTTGGGGGATACTGGGAGTCCCTAACAAGTTATTGTATGGGGTTTAGCGGTGTGAGTTCGGGAGAAGGCTGAGGGTTTTTTCAGGAGTTTAACCTGCTTATTTGCCTAAAGGTTGGGTGGGAGCCGCAGTGAGCTTATGCTTGGGGGGATCGCAAGGGTTTGTGAATCAGATTTTGATTCTCATTTTCTTTGTATGGATCAAACAAATGCAAATAAATTGAAATAAGTTTTCCAACGGGGCATGCAGCCTGTATGCCTCACCATACAGAACGTTACAAAAGCACAAGTTTAACTAAGCACTTTTACTCTGGTTTAAGACATTTTTACACACACACACACACACACACACACACACACACACACACACACACACAGGGCTAGATAGATAAACACACAGACATGACTCACACAGACACAGTGGGGGAAATAATTATTTGATCCCCTGCTGCTAATTTAACTTTGCTCACTACATTAGAAATGAAGAGCCTCTTTTCATTTCTAATGTAGTTTTATTTTAGTGGAAAGAGACAGAATATCTACCAAAAATCCAGAAAAAACACATCACATTAAAAGTTGTAGGCACACAGATTCCAATCAATCAATCAATTACAGATCCTCCTAATCTCAGCCTGCTATGTATATGAAGTACACCTATCCTCAGAGTCATTTTCTTTCATTCCAACCTCTCCACCACCACAGGCAAGACCAAAGAGCTGTCAAAGGATATCGAGACAAGAATGGGCTTGTAGTCCACTCTTGCCCCATGGAGGTGGGCTGGAATGGACTACAAGCCCATTCATGTCCCCGACACCTTGTTGAGATGGTAACAAGTGGTGATGCAATTGTTCAGCAATGGAAGCAGTAAAAAAACGACGTGCCATTCTGTCTCTCACCATTAAAATGAAACTATGATAAAAAAAATGTATTCATTTGTAAGTGAGCCAACTTACAGAACTAGCGGGGATCAAATAATTATATGTACATATATATTATTATTTTTATTTTTTTTTACCTTGTGTGTTTTCCTGATCAACAGTAGTCTCATACAGAGTATTCTCAAAGCGTGGTGGGTTGTCATTGATGTCCTTTATGAAAATCTCAAGTCGTAACCTGGTAACCTGTCTGGTGTCAGTTGACACGTCCATCTTTCTGGCCTCACATATTAGCTAGACATCAAATGATACCATGAAGACTTAGTTACAATAGAAAATAAATAGTAAATATTGTGATCTATGACATGGAAAGATTATCATTAAGTGGTAAAGTTCTGTGACAAGAAGTTAAAATAATTTTTAAAGATTTTTTTTCAGCCTTTTTTATGCAACCAAAGTAACAAAATTTGACATTTCTAGTATGAAATCAGGTAAAGCTTCTGACGATATGCTGACAGAAACGTAAAGTGTAAAAACTGTTGGTTGACAATAAGCATGAGCATGCTTAATATGCACTCTCATTAATAGTAACTACTCCACAATAACAGGTGTTCACTGTCACTATGAATAATTTGTACATGAACAGAAAGACTGTGGGATCACTACATGTTGGCGTTTAGCGAGTGTTGATTCTAACCTCAAGTTTTTGCCACTCCTCATAGTCCACAGCCTTGTGGACGTACAACATGCCAGACTCTTTGTCAATGGAGATGACTCCCATCGGCACCTCATCCACCCCTTCTCCATAGAGTTGGAAGGTTAGTTGATTTTGCCTATCAATATTCACCTACAACACAACAGCAAATGTTTGCATGCGTAAACGTCCGTTTTGTGATTTTAAATGATTTTATTGCTATGAACCTGGGCATGGTTAAATAAAGAAACATGCAAGTATCAAAGGAATGCAGGTGTTAAATCAGCTTTAATCAATGAACTGATTATTTTTGCATTATTAGTATTAGTTTTTTGGTAGCTACATTAAAAAAGTGTTCACCTTAAAATTAAATTCACTGTGCATTTATATTCCACAAAAAATACATTTGAAACGTAAAAACCTATACATAAAAGTTTGTTTTTTTCTGTCATTTTAAAGTCTTTCAGTTTATGAAATTTGGAAATGGACACTTTCCGGTTAAATTTCTCACCTTGCCCAACTCATATGGGAATGGCCCTGGATAACCCTCCTCAAGCTCAAACGAGTCAGTAGTCCATTCCCTCCTGTGACGGCTCAGCAGCTCTGAGCTTCTAGCACCTGATAAACAATAAACCTGGAGGGCAAACAGTCAGTCAAAGCAGGAATGTTAGGGGATGGGCTTACGGTGAAGTTATAATTTATGCGTCTGGGGTAATGAACTTCTTAAAAGCTCACTGATGCATAGTTGGTAAACCAGTTTTGATAAGGTGCGCACACACGCATTTCTGCAGATATGCAAAGGCTTTCCGAGTATAGCGTGATAAGAGAAATGAACCTGTTCAAAAGGAAGTCCCAGATTTGTATCGCCGAAAACAAAACATTAACTCCATTTTAAGCAATTTCAGAAAACGTTTTCAAGAATTTTGCCTTTCGTAGCCATGTGATACGACAGATGAAGAGATCCATTAGGGCACGCAGTATTTGCGCACATAATTAGCATGTCTGACAAAGGAAAAGTCAAAGGAATACAAAAGTAATTGCTACGTACCAATAAAAAGAAGTAGCGCATGACCTTTGTTCACTGCAGTCAGCTCAGAGTGAGTAAGGACTGACTTCAGTCAGCAAGCCCAGCCTTCTTTCCACACCCACATATGCAACCGTAAAATCCTGTTTTTGTACGCGCGTGTGTGCGCGCACGCGTGTTTCTATGTTTGCGTGTGTGTCTGTTTACCTGCCTTTCCATGGAACCAGCTGTGACTGACAGCTGGAAATCAAAATAGGACAAACTCAGTCTAACGAATAGAAGCCGTGTTTTGTGCCTTTAGTTCCTTGACTGCTTTAGTTTGACGATAGCTTTGTTATGTGTGCTTTGTATTTAGTTCTACCTTCCTACTCTCATGGTCTGTGTTTAGCCGTCCTCCCACCTGTGTCCTCTTCCCTTGTTATATGGTGTGTTTTTGTCTCATTTTCCACTTGTCCGTTGTCCCATGCTCGCTCATGTCTGTGCTTCTCCTTGTTCTGTGTGTTTTGTAGAAGTTTCATTGTGTTGGATTCTTTGTTTGTAACCTGCAGTTATTTTGTAAGAGCTCATCATTAAAGCTGCTTTTTGAGATTAAGTCTTGTTTATACTGTGCATGCATTTTGGGTCCATCTCCTTCCTGCCAATTAGTGATTCTCGACAAAAAGCAAAAACAAAAGAGTTTGTACAATGCTAAACAGCTTGAAAGTCAATATTTGTTATGACCACTTTTATTTTTCAACAGAGTCTAGTTAAGATTTCTTGTAATTTTTCTTTTACTAGTCCTCAGGAATAGTTCTCCAGGCTTCTTGAAGATTATTCAAAGCTCTTCTTTCAATGTTGTTTTTCTCTCTGTCAAGATGATGCCGCACTCCTTCAATAATGCTGGGCTGTAGGGAGGCCAATCCATGACTAACAGTGGAAATTTTTATTAAACCTGACAACTGGTAGTCATGTGGGGTCCGGAGCTCTACAGCCTTCTAGCCTTCCACAGTTACTCCTGTGGAGAAATGTGTAGTGAACTCCACCACCACCACAGGCCAATACTTAGGGTGTGGACTTGAACTTGTGCCAAGCTGCTTTGCCTGGGTGGATTTCTGGCTGCGGGGCTGAGGTCCCGATACATCAATGTATTTTAATTTGTTTTAGACTGATGTACTTTGACAGGGAAGAGCTGAAGCTTATTTTGGCGGCTGTCGATATTGTTGTTTTGTTTATGTGTTTTATTTTACTGTCTCAGTAGGAACCTCATGTATTTATTGTATTTTAGAGTGGTTTACCCTTTTTATATATATATTGTTGCAGACAGTGAAGGCGCTGCATGGAAAACTAATCGTTTTTTTCTTTCCGATTTTTACATGCACCGTGGTGAGCTTGAGTGGAGACGGCACTGAATATTTTATTTTTTATAGTGTTTTGTCCAGTTGGGGTTCAGGGTGAGTTGCCGTCCCTTTTAAACGTGTGTCATATGTTGATTTGTGTTTAACTGGTTCCCCACAGCGCTTATCCTGTCCCCCACGTACAATCATACAATTTTAAAGTTTTAACCGTATTTAATGAAGTAAAGCTTTTAATTGTTTTATACGGAAGAGGATTAGGGCCACTGGGAAAAAAAAAAAACAATTCTGACTTTAATCTCAGAATTCTGAGAAAAAAGTCAGAATTCTTTCCTTTTTCCCCCCAGTGGCCCTAATCCTCTTCCGTAGTTTTAGGTGCTACTATTACATGTTTACTTTTATTTTGTGTTAACATTAAACCCATTTTAACTGACTGTATGGCTACAGCTCTGTCCTATTGAAGTAGGTACCTACCATGGGTCACACTGGTTATTAAGACAACTGTGATAAGCATTTTGGCATGTGTGATGAGATGCTGCATATATTTTATCACACTGTGGTGGGCAGTGCTCTCTATTATACTGTGGTGTTTTGGTGGTGCAGCCCGACAGACAATCACTTCTACAACACCACTAGAGACACATGAATGAAATGCAGTGTCATTAAAAACACTTGATCTTTTTCCATATTCTTCAATGATCTTTATTTAAAAATGTAATATATTTACAGGGCAATGAATGCTTTCTCATCCTTCTGTCATGCTCCATAGAGTGTCTGAGGGGGTTTTCCACTTGGTATCGGGATTCTATGTCCACCTTCAGAGGTGGAGTTTCTCACCTGGGCCTCATCTGCAAACAATCAGCAGGAGGGCTTTTTAAACCAGCACTGTCTGCTACTCCTCGCCAGTTTGTTCTGCTATCTACAGTGGTAACTAGGCTCCACCTCTGCTCCAATTCTGGCTTCCCCATGTTTAACCTTGTTTTCCCTGTGTTTAGATCTCCTCTGACAACATACTCGTCCAGCAACTTCTTCTCCTCTGTTGCAGAATTCCCTTTGGATCGTTCCCATCACGACCCAGGTGATTAGTCTCTCCATAGCTTTTCCTCTGGTACCTGCTCTCTGCTGACACTCCATCTCTAGCCACATTCTCCATTCCTTCTCCTTAAATAAAGTCTTATAAATAGTTTAACCATGTGCTTTGAATTTGCATTTGGGTCTAAGCGCCAAATCACAACAAAAGTCGCCTCAAGGCATTATATTCTAAGGTAGAGCCTACAATAATATTTACAAAGAAAGACCCAACAATCAAATGACCCCCTATGAGCAAGCACTTTGGCGACAGTGGGAAGGAAAAACTCATTTTTAACAGGAAGAAACCTCCAGCAGTACCACGGTCAGGGAGGGGCGGGCATCTGCTGCAACCGTTTGGGGTGAGAGAAGGAAGACAGGATAAAAGACATGCTGTGGAAGAGAGACCGAGATTAATCACAAGTATTATTCAATACAGGGAGGTCTGTTAACACATTTCAAGTGAGAAAGGTGGATGAAAACGAAAAACGCGATGCATCACGGGAATCCCTCAGGAGCCTACGCCTTGCAGCATAACTAAGGGAGGATTCGGGTTCACATGAGTTGGCCATCAGCCTACTAAAAGGATACTGAAAAAAACGTGTCGAAATAGTGTTAGTTGTCATGACTTGTGCTGGTGGACTCAGAAATTTGCAAACGCAAGTATTCCTCTTCTGCCTCAAAATCCTCTCGGGACCACTTCCTCGAGCCTCCAGTTTCATGGTTGTCAAGCTCTTCAAGTTCATCCCCAAAAATGTTCATCACGACTGGTCTCAGAGTGAGCATGCACAGTTGAGCTTGTCCCTGAATCAGAGTTTGCAAGCCTGAGTGTTTTGCTGTTCTCTTCTTCATCTACACTCTCTGGGCTTTTTCGTGGATCCACCAGGCAGTGGTTCTTCTTTTATTACCTGCTGATTGATGTCCTCATCAGCAATATTACCAACATGAGAACAACCCTCGCTATCAGTGTCACAGTCAGAAATGAAGTCAGAGTCATCATCAGAAAACTCCTCGCACCATCTGATTCTTTTGTTCTTCATCCATCTCTCTAGACCTCCTCCTGGATACACCTGGCCGAGGATCCTCTTCTGGGATGTACTGGTGAACATCCACACAGTCTTCAAATGCCTCATCAGAATCATCATTTTCAATGACAACAACAACAACAGCATTTTGGCTGGTGTAGACTCACAACTTTGGAATGAACAAAATGCATACAGCATAAATAAAACTAATTAAAACAATTCTTTTTATTCAAAACCGACGTCAGGATTTGGGTTGTGAGAGCGTCTGTGTTGAATGGAGAAGCTACATCCCATGTTCACTCTGATGCCTCTGTCTTTCTAAATGGAGGGACATAAACTGTGTGTGTATATGTAAGCGTGTAAAAACTGCAGATACTAAGAATAACAGCAACAGTATTTTGTCTATATCCGCCATTGTAGAAATTTATCTCATGTAAACAATAACGTGACCACAGCGTGATGTCAAAAACGGCACACACATACTCAGACGTTGCCTGAGTAAATCTCGTCCACACCTAAACGCAAAAATGTAGTTTTCAAAAATCTCCACCCTGGCAAGAGTTTTTAAAAATGTCACCTTTCAGTGACCCAAAATGCAGTTTACGTGTGGACGAAAGGCCCAAATGCATAGAAAAAGCTGCATTTTGAAAAATACCCGTGTACATGTGGACGTACTCAGTTTCTCAAAAAATCTCTCAGAAATTCTAATAGTTTGTTTGAGAAAAAACTGAAATTTCAGCTTACTTTAGTTCTTGTGTGGTAATAATATAAATTACACAGCAGTTAATCCTCAGGAGTAGAAATTTCACTAAATAGTTGTCTTCTTTCATACGGTTGCAGTGTCTCTTCAGATTTGTGTTGATATGCTGATGTTTTCATTCAAAAGATGTTTAAATGATGCAGTGATGTCCCTTAAGCATCATAGACTGCAGAATATATATAGATTCTTTTTACTTTTAAGTTGTATGCTCAGATTTTGATATCTTTTATATGGAGACAAAAAAAATACTCAAAACAATTAAAGAAAAATAAAGCAGTCAATGTGTTATTTAAATTTTTCATTTATTCTAATAGTTACTGTAAAATTCTCCACTAAGAGATTCATCTTGGACTTCTTGCGGGATTAAAGCTAAAAAATTAGTACACACACAACATATAATTCATTTCTTTATGCTTGTAAGGCAAAAATGAAGAGACTGCGCTGACAGTCAAAAGAGACGAAGAGGAACTCCGATACCAGCTATGCTGAAGTTTTCACAACATCACTTGAGTTTTGGAGGTAAAAGGCAAGCAAGGACCACGTCAGGGTGGAGTTTACAGATTATTTTTTCCACTATGAAGGTGCAGGTTGTGGGTAGTGAGATCATCTAATGTCATATAATCTTTAGCTTGAGATCCAGTATTCAAGGCAAGGCTGGATGGTCCATTTGGTAAAGTAAATCCGTTGGGCATCTTTCTTCGCCTTTAGACAAGAATTCTGATGGCAAAAGAACCAAACGGGACAGGCAAAAAAAAAAGAACAAGAAAAAAGAAATAAAAAAGAGAGAGATCCATTATTCAGGTGCCCAGTGATCAAAAGTTGATAGCCAGAAGGGGGAGACATTGAGCTACAAAGTGAGCTGTGTAGGGTGTAGGTGAGGTTTTCTGTTCTGTTGTTGGGTTACCACTTCTTAATTTCACTGCACTTCAGCATGTGACAGTTCACTATTAGCGATGTCTGATTGTCAAAGTATTGATTAATTTTGCTGGAATCCTTCACTTGCCCCTATTCCTTATTGTATCCCTCCATGTATTTTTTGACCACATTAATCTCACCTTCCTCTGTCTTTTTCTCACACTACTGCTGGGACTACGGTCCCTCCTGCTGCATTTCACCATGCTTGAGCCCATGAGACCTGGTTACCGCCACTTCTTCCACACTAAACTCTGTTCTAAAAGCTGTGTGGGCAAACAGTCAAGGTAGGGCCTGATTGTTTTAATTGATTTGATTAAGCAATCCTTTGACTGTAATGAAAATGAACCACTTGCATAAATAAGCATCAAAATATTGATGAGCATATTTTCCTTTTAGCAAATTCCATTAACAAAAACCCCCAAATAATTTCTCTGAACACTCTTCCAACAACCACACCAGCCCATCCCACTGTACCACTGCATTACATGTACTAAATCAGTACTCATCCAAAGATTGATATGCAAAGCAAAGCTGTCAGTCCTCTTATTAAAATGATTTTGTTTGAGATATCACATGACCCTATTTTCCTTCTTACTTTGCATCATTGTAATAAAGCTGAAAGCTGAATCCATTTTAATTGTGAGCAAGTACAGAGCAGTAAAAATAAAATAAAAATAAAAACAACAGAAAAGATGCAGAAGCAGAAAACAAACAAAAACAAAAAACACCACGTGTAGAAAAAATAAGCCAAGAAACCAGAGCTGGTTAAAGGCACTCAGATGTTTGCATGTTAAATTTGTAACTCCTGGTATGTTATATGTCAGGGTGTGTGGCTGGTGGGAGGTGGACCCAATTTAGAAGACTCAGAAGAGAAAGAGTGAACTCAAAACCAAGTTTTATTTCTGGTAAATCACAGAAAAAAACCTACAACATACAACAACAATCACCAAAGTAAAACAGGAAGACAGACACAAATGAATTTTGTGACAGGGGAGAGAAGACTAACTTCGCACATGAGACACAGGAGGACAAAACACAGACCTGAACAGAATACACTGAACACTATTTATACAAGAAGGACAGAGGCGGCTGGGAGATAAAGCAAAAATATAAACAATACAAATTATAATACCTCAAACACAAATGATCCTCAAAACCAAAACAGAACCAAAACTGTTCTCAGAAACCCTGAGCCCAAAACCCCATAACACCTTTAAAACTACGGGTAAAAACTATCGTGGCCACAGATGCTCGAGATTCAACACAAAAGCAAGATCTCTTTTTTTTTTAAAAAAGACACGCTTTACCTATCATGACTAACTCCCAGTATGTATGTGGTGTAGGGAGTTTTAGGAGCTCTTCAAACCTGATTACTGTGGACACCACATAATCAATTCATTTTTATTTTGGCATTAGGCACAGCTCTGTGACAAAGACCCCACAACCTCCTTAATCTCCAGCCTCACCCCAAAAAATGCCTTTTTACGAGGACCACCTGGGCCAAATGCAACTGAGCAGAGAGCGCTCCCAAAAGTTGGTAGAGGTAGACTCTGAAGGGTTTCAATTTTCTTAAAACTGTGGTAAATACTGTAGTTTTCTACTTGTTTAAGGGGGACCACCTTGAGTTCCACCCTTTGCATGAGCACTCAGTGAAGATGATTTTTTGTTTTTTTTGTTTATCCCAAATGCAAATTAGCATTTTGGATCCTAACATGAAAGTGAAGAACAATTATAATCCAGCAACTGTGCACTTTTGTTTTTCTTTCCTCATTTTGATATGAAAAATGAAGATGCATGTGGCACAGTTATTAAACACATGTGATTAACAATAAAGCTCTCTGGTAGTATATCTCATGCAGAAGTGGTTGCCACAAACCCTTTTTAATTAACCCCAAATCTGAATGGAATAAAGGGATTAAATGCCTTCTTCCTCACACTTGAAACAAAAATGTTTGCTACATAACAGGATATCCTGAGTACTGTGTTTGTGTCAGGCTGCATATAGAAGCCAGTTGGTGAAACTTTGGACCCAGATCTTTCAGTGTGTCCTGAAATGAATCCTCTTCCAAAATGTTGATTGTCTCCAACGCTGAGTTGGTTTCTAAATTCCCTTCCACTGCATAGATGTGAAGCTCATCGTCTCCTAAGTCCACTTCTTTCTTCCAGAGTGAGGTCACTTTCTGAAAATTTTGCAACACGTAAATTATTATTTTTTGAATCATACATGCTCATATGTTTTAAATAATGCAGCACAGGAGATGTAACTTACTGAGGAGATTAGGCACTGAACCAGTTTAACCTGCATGTCATTAGACTCTGTAGCACAGCTCACGGTTTGTGTTTGGAGGACGTTCATATTGCTCATGTCTTCAAACTGCACACAAAAGGTTCACATTTCTTTATCTCTGATTTCAAAGTAAAAGATTACAAACACAAATCTCTGCTGTTCTACCTGATGGCTGCTGTCAAAGCCAGTGGTTATTGGAGAATTCCAGTTTGACTGAGATTTAAAGAACAAAAATATATAGTTATTATTTTAAGATCCATTTGTAAGACATCCTCAATCTTCTGTGGGTGTGTACAACCTGGTTCCCAGTGTAGCTGTATTGGCTGTATTGGCTTTCTCTTCTGAAATCCCCAAAGCGTGGGTGGATGGACCTCTGTGTAAAATCCTGTTCAAAAGGATGACGAGAGCAGGAGGTGATCTGTAGAGGATTCTGAGATGCTTTTACAAAAGTACATGCTCCATGGAAGAATGACCTACCCTAGGTGGTGAGCGTAAACTCCGAAAACTGCCAAAAGTCTGAACTTCATTCATACCCACCCTTGCTGAATATCTCCCATTTCTCATCCCATTCAGTGGAATATGGAAATTAGATTGATTATATTGCTCCATACAAACTGGTTCTTCCATAATAGTGACAGGAATCTAAAGAAAGAGAAATGGTTTAATGATATTTGCCTTAAAATGGGTCTTTGGCATGGATGCAAATGTTTCTAAACAGTGACCTCGCAGTTGTCTCCTGGTGCCTCAGTGTTTGATTGGAGGAGGATTCCTCCTGAACAATCTTCAGGCTCCATAGTGATAAACTCTCTTTTGGACGAGATGCTGAGAGCCAGCAGCAGCAGAACTGTCAAAGAGTAAAATAAAACTTATGCTGGGTTCTTAGAGATGTTAGCACACATATCACAGTTCTCCTACACTAAAGTAAACGGTGTGTTTCTTACACAGAAGAAGTAAGAGTGAACAAATTATTATGCATAAAGCATAAGGGCCAATGTTTATTTCAGATTTCTGGCGAATTCGACAGTTTGGTGTCACAGTGCAGCCACATGCAGTCACACTGAGGTTGTAAACTTTAAATGCTCCCTGCATGTCGGAGATCTTTAGATGAATTGTGTGTTGACCAG